CAGATTCTGGAAACTAACATGTGATTATCACAGGGGCACAATTCAGCCCGCCATGGATGGATGAGTAGATAGGTTAACGGGTGGAAGGATGGTGGGTGGAAGGATGGATAATAGAGTACAGGGACAAATGCTAAGGTGGATGATTGGATGGAAGGGTGAAAGGATGCGGTATGTGGATTGATGGGTGGTGGTGGATGGATGAATGGAATGATGGTGGATGAACAGGTGTAATGGAAGGGTGGATGGATGGGGTATGTGGATTAATGGGTGGTGGTGGGTGGGTGAATGGAATGATGGTGGATGGACAGGTGTAATGGAAGGCTGGATGGATGGGGTATGTGGATTGATGGGTGGTGGTGGATGGATGAATGGAATGACGGTGGATGGACAGGTGTAATGGGAGGGTGGATGGATGGGGTATGTGGATTGATGGGTGGTGGTGGATGGATGAATGGAATGATGGTGGATGGACAGGTGTAATGGGAGGGTGAAAGGATGCGGTATGTGGATTGATGGGTGGTGGTGGATGGATGAATGGAATGATGGTGGATGGAGGACAGGTGTAATGGGAGGGTGGATGGATGGGGTATGTGGATTGATGGGTGGTGGTGGACGGATGAATGGAATGATGGTGGATGAACAGGTGTAATGGAAGGGTGGATGGATGGGGTATGTGGATTGATGGGTGGTGGTGGGTGGGTGAATGGAATGACGGTGGATGGACAGGTGTAATGGAAGGCTGGATGGATGGGTATGTGGATTGATGGGTGGTGGTGGATGGATGAATGGAATGATGGTGGATGGACAGGTGTAATGGAAGGGTGAAAGGATGCAGTATGTGGATTGATGGGTGGTGGTGGATGGATGAATGGAATGATGGTGGATGGACAGGTGTAATGGGAGGGTGGATGGATGGGGTATGTGGATTGATGGGTGGTGGTGGATGGATGAATGGAATGATGGTGGATGGACAGGTGTAATGGGAGGGTGGATGGATGGGGTATGTGGATTGATGGGTGGTGGTGGATGGATGAATGGCATGATGGTGGATGGAGGACAGGTGTAATGGGAGGGTGGATGGATGGGGTATGTGGATTGATGGGTGGTGGTGGATGGATGAATGGAATGATGGTGGATGGACAGGTGTAATGGGAGGGTGGATGGATGGGGTATGTGGATTGATGGGTGGTGGTGGATGGATGAATGGAATGATGGTGGATGGAGGACAGGTGTAATGGGAGGGTGGATGGATGGGGTATGTGGATTGATGGGTGGTGGTGGATGGATGAATGGCATGATGGTGGATGGACAGGTGTAATGGGAGGGTGGATGGATGGGGTATGTGGATTGATGGGTGGTGGTGGATGGATGAATGGCATGATGGTGGATGGACAGGTGTAATGGGAGGGTGGATGGATGGGGTATGTGGATTAATGGGTGGTGGTGGGTGGGTGAATGGAATGACGGTGGATGGACAGGTGTAATGGAAGGCTGGATGGATGGGGTATGTGGATTGATGGGTGGTGGTGGATGGATGAATGGAATGACGGTGGATGGACAGGTGTAATGGAAGGCTGGATGGATGGGGTATGTGGATTGATGGGTGGTGGTGGATGGATGAATGGAATGATGGTGGATGGAGGACAGGTGTAATGGGAGGGTGGATGGATGGGGTATGTGGATTGATGGGTGGTGGTGGACGGATGAATGGAATGATGGTGGATGGAGGACAGGTGTAATGGAAGGGTGGATGGATGGGGTATGTGGATTAATGGGTGGTGGTGGGTGGGTGAATGGAATGATGGTGGATGGACAGGTGTAATGGGAGGGTGGATGGATGGGGTATGTGGATTGATGGGTGGTGGTGGATGGATGAATGGAATGATGGTGGATGGACAGGTGTAAGGTGGATGATGGGATGGAAGGGTGAAAGGAATGCACATGTGGATTGATGGGTGGTGATGGATGGATGACTGGAATGATGGTGGATGGACAGGTGTAATGGAAGGGTGAAAGGATGGGGTATGTGGATTGATGGGTGATGGGTGAATGGAATGATGTTGGATGGACAGGTGTAATAGAAGGGTGGATGGATGGGGTATGTGGATTGATGGGTGGTGGTGGGTAGATGAATGGAATGATGGTGGATGGACAGGTGTAGGTGGATGATGGGATGGAACAGTGAAAGGATGGGGTATGTGGATTGATGGGTGATGGATGAATGGAATGATGGTGGATGGACAGGTGTAATGAAAGGGTGAATGGATGGGGCATGTGGATTGATGGGTGGTGGTGTGTACTATCAGCATGTAAAATACTGGAAATGGGTCTAGGAGAGGTTGGGATATTCTGTCTGGTTGCTGAGCTCGAGCCAGGGACCATGGCCTCGAACTCAGCTGAGGTGTTCCTAACCCATCTATTCCACGGTTTCCTTCTTACAATTTCCGGAGAGTTCCTCTCTGGCTTCCCAGGACACACACACAGTGAGTGACTCTAAGAATGAAACGAGCACATCCACGTGACTCGGACATTAGTCGATGCCGAGACCACTTAGTGCTGAGGTTTAAAGTCTTCCTTTCACTAATAAGTTTCAGTTAGCAGAGAACAAACGAGTTCCCCATTCTCCCTGCGTCTGTGCAGGCTGGTCACAGAGCGTTTTGCGTTACAAGAATGACTTTCTTGTTTCAGTCCAGACACTTGGGACAGGTCATGCCTTGAAAGGTACTTATTTCTTCTCCCGACAAACATTTTCGAAGTACCTACTGTGTGCCGAACTGAGGTTTTTGAGCCCTCACCCTCCAAGTCTGGTTTTGGGGGGCTTCCTCTATACATTCCTCAATTCCCTCACCGTCCATAACCTGTAGTCGTTTCCCTGGTGACAGCCTGAGCCTGCCTCAGTGGTCCCACCAGGTGGGTGCTCCCCAGGGGAAGACAGGGTGGATGGATGGCGGGAGAGAACTGGGGGGCTCAGACCCGCTGTACCCCAGCCGGGGACACAGGCCCCTCTTCCAGCACACTGAATCACGTCCCCGAGCCAAGATCTGCAGAAGGGCAGGAAGTACAGCTGCTCACGCCTCTGCAAACAGTTGGAGGTCACAGTGCCCTTTGAGTGCTACTGAAATTGGTATTATCTGTTCTCTCCACCCACTCGCTCCACATCTGCCACATCTCCAGGAAGGGTTCAAGATACACAGAACGCAGTGATCGTCAGCTGTGTCCCTGTTATGAGCTGAATTGTGTCCTGTTCACTCAAAAGAAAGCCATATGTGGGAGCCCTGATGCTCAGGACCTCAGTGCGGGATTGTATTGGCAGACAGCTTTTGTTCATTTGTTTCTTTGCCTTGTTTTTGAGACGGAGTCTCGCTCTGTGGCCCAGGCTGAAGCGCAGTGGCACAATTTTGGCTCACTGCAATCTCTGCCTCCTGGATTCAAGTGATTCTTCTGCCTCAGCCTCCCGAATAGCTGGGACTACAGGCACGTGCCACCACGCTCAGCTAATTTTTGTATTTTTAGTAGAGATGGGGTTTCACCATGTTGGTCAGGCTGGTCTTGAACTCCAAACCTTGTGATCCATCTGCCTCCGCCTCCCAAAGTGCTGGGATTACAGGTATGAGCCACCACACCCGGCTGGAGACAGGGTTTTTAAAGAGGTGATTACTTTAAAACGAGGCCTTAGGTGTGGGCCCTCTTTCAATGGGTGTGTGTCCTTGTAAGAAGAGATTAGGACACAGACACACACACAGAGGGACAACCCTGAGCACGAGCTAAGGAGAGAGGCCTCAGGAGAGACCAACACTGCTGACACCTTGACCTTGAACCTCCAGCCTCCAGAACTGTGCGAAAACAAATCCTGAAAAATTAATACGGCCCATGTTCTCATGGGCGTCTTGTGGGAGAGAGATCTTGATCAAAGAAAAAAAACATTGTCGGGCGCGGTGGCTCACGCCTGTAATCCCAGCGCTTTGGGAGGCCGAGGCGGGTGGATCACGAGGTCAAGAGATCGAGACCATCCTGGTCAACACGGTGAAACCCCGTTTCTACTAAAAACACAAAAAATTAGCTGGGCATGGTGGCGCGTGCCTGTAATCCCGGCTACTCGGGAGGCTGAGGCAGGAGAATCGCTTGAACCCAGGAGGCGGAGGTTGCGGTGAGCCGAGATCGTGCCATTGCACTCCAGCCTGGGTAACAAGAGCGAAACTCCGTCTCAAAAAAGAAAGAAAAAGAAAAAGAGAAACCATTATCTAGTGCAGTCAGTAAACACACACGTAGCACCTGCTGGGCTCTAGTCAGTGTCTCCATCTCCCGCCGCCAACCCTCCCCAGGCAACCCCGCCCTCCAGGTCATTCTTGACATTCAAAGGTTTTCGGAAATGTCACCTCCTTGGAGAAATTCTCCCCACTTTGCCCAGCCACTGTCATCTCAGCTTGCTTTATGTGTCAAATGGTGTATAGTGAGTGACTCTTGTTAGAGATGGCTCTTTTATTGATTTCTGTGCTGGTCAGTGTCTCACCTGCTAGAATATAAGCCCCATGAGAAAGGGACATTTCTTCTGTCTTCTTCTTCACCAATGTATCCCCAGTGCCTAGCAAGGTAAATGTCAGTGGCATGAATGAATGAATGAATAAAGAGCTTCTCAGAGTCCTCGGTGTCTCTGGCTGTCACATATAGGTCTCTGAATTCTACTAAGTTCACTGCAGGGGAAATTCAGAGCTTCCTTGAATCACGGAGGACATGGACCACCTACTTCTCACCCCCAACTACACACTCACTGGGGCAGGGCAGGTGTGGGCCAGGGTTCCCTCTTTGCTGTCAGGTTGCACGGGACCAGCTCTCGGTGTCCTGAGAATTCCTCCCCTCTCTCTTTTTGCCACAGCACAGAAGGAAACCTCTGTTGGGAAAGGAGCAGGGTGGTTTCTGCTCATAGTTCCAGGGTTCAGTGGGTGGGGGTGGGGTATGATGGGGACGTGTCCAGCCTGAATCTTTCCTGCTCCATCCTACAGGAGGACCTCAGACCTTCCATGCGATGCAAAGGAGGAGGAGCAGATGGGCAGGGAAGGGCTGCAGCCCAGCAGGACCGTCTAGCCTGTGCAGGAAGCTTATACATTGAGGCTGCAGTATTTTTCTTGAGATGGAGTCTCACTGTCACCCAGGTTGAAGTGCAGTGGCATGATCTCGGTTCACCGCAACCTCCATCTTCTGGGTTCAAGCTATGCTCCTGCCTCAACCTCTCCAGTAGCTGGGATTACAGGCGAACACCACCACACCTGGCTAATTTTTGTATTTTTAGTAGAGACGGGGTTTCACCATGTTGGTCAGGCTGGCCTCAAACTCCTGACCTAAATGGATCCACCAACCTCGGCTTCCCAAAATGCTGGGATTACAGGCGTGAGCCACTGTGCCCGTTTGGATGCAGTAGTTTCAGTCTGACAGAAACACAATTTTCAAGCATACATTTTCTTTTAATCTTGAAGAATAGTCATTATGACACATCTTGGGTCACACCGACCTCCGGATTCATCCAGTGTGTCCATGGCTGCTAATCGTGATATTTTCAACTAAAAACAAGCAAACCTGATTTTTGCTAAATGTTTCCGGCTGTAAGATGTCAATTGCTACAATTTAGTTTCCAGGTGATCTGTTATTTTGAACAAACGTTAAACTTTAATATTCTACTACATTCTTTTTTTTTTTGAGACGGAGTTTCACTCCTGTCACCCAGGCTGGAGTGCAATGGCGTGATCTCAGCTCACCTCGACCTCCGCCTCCTGGGTTCAGGCAATTCTCCTGCCTCAGCCTCCTGAGTAGCTGGGATTACAGGCACGTGCCACTGTGCCCAGCTAATTTTTTGTATTTTTAGTAGAGACGGGGTTTCACCATGTTGACCAGGATGGTCTCGATCTCTTGACCTCATGATCCACCTGCCTCGGCCTCCCAAAGTGCTGGGATTATAGGTGTGAGCCACCGCGCCCGGCTCTGCTACGTTCTTAAGTGAGCAAAAAAAACCCCACAAATCTTCGCTTGTCACAGCTGTTTAACGTTTTATGAACCTGACGCCTGTCCTTCATTACTCTGAGGTTGAAAGCTTTCGTTCAGCTCACGTGAGGATTGAAAAAGAACTCTCATGGTGTTGCTTACCACAGTTCCTACTTTTCATAATATGTAATATGTAAAAACACTGTATTTGAGCTGCTCACGAGACGCATTTTATGTTTACCTAAACGTAATGATCATTTCACAGAATGCAAAAAGGTTTTTACCATAGTCTAAAATCACAGAAGTAAAAACATAGTAATTACAGGTTTTCAGATTTCTTTTCAGGTTACTCAGATTTGATTCATAGCAAATATTCTTTGTTTCGTTTTTTAAACAGGCTCGTTCCAAACTGAATAAATTTTCAATGGTGGAAAAATAGAAAGAAATTTCTTTTGTGTAAAACAAATACTGTGATGAAAAGGAAAATCAGCACTCTGTGTTCAACAGTTACTTATGAAGTAATTTATTACAGAGTTATCTCTGCAATTATCATAATTGGGTTGCCACTGAATCTTTGTTTCAAAAATGTGTGTTTTTAAAATTTCTTACTCTGTGCAAGGAAATGGTTTGACATATTTATACCTTTTGTTGTGGTAAAATGTTTATTCCTAAATTGTTGTATTTCTATACTTTGAAGACATCAAAAATAAGTTTTCATGCCTGTGTTCATAGACTCTTCAGAAGTTAATTCAATAACTTGTTGCTGCTTTTTTTTTTTGAGACAGAGTTTCGCTGTTGTTACCCAGGCTGGAGTGCAATGGCGCGATCTCAGCTCACCGCAACCTCTGCCTCCTGGGTTCAGGCAATTCTCCTGCCTCAGCCTCCTGGGTCCCTGGGACTACAGGCACGCGCCACCACGCCCAGCTAATTTTTTGTATTTTTAGTAGAGACGGGGTTACACCAGGTTGACCAGGATGGTCTCGATCTCTTGACCTCATGATCTACCCGCCTCGGCCTCCCAAAGTGCTGGGATTATAGGCGTGAGCCACCGTGCCCGGCTTGTTGCTGCTTTTGACAAAATACTCATGTAAATATTGGTCCTGTAAAATTTGGCATACCTTTAAGCATCAAGTCTACACATCCATCTTAGCAATTAAGCAGTAAACTATGCAATCTCAAAAAAGGTATTTGTTGTTTATCTGAAATTCAAATTTAAATGGGTACAGCCAGGTGTGATGGCTCATGCCTGTAATCCCAGCACTTTGGGAGGCTGAGGAGGATGGATTGCCTGAGGTCAGGAGTTTGAGACCATCCTGGCCAACATGGTGAAACCCCGTCTATACTAAAAATACAAAAATTAGCTGGGGGTGGTGGCATGTGCCTGTAGTCCCAGGGACCCAGGAGGCTGAGGCAGGAGAATTGCTTAAAACCGGAAGGTGGAGGTTGCAGTGAGCTGAGATTGCGCCTCTGCACTCCAGCCTGGGCAACAGATCAAGACTCTGTCCCCCCAAAAAAAAAAAAAATTTTCTGGGCAGGCTCTACTTTTATTTGCTAAATCTGGTGACTTTAAAGAGGGGCAAGAACAGTATTAATAATTGTGGCACATGTTTCTTAAGTGTTTACTGAGTACCAGGACAGCTAATGTTCTGTGACATGCATATAACATAATATATAAATTATAATTTCAAATTCTTTTTTTTTTCTTTGACACAGAGTGTTGGTCGACTCCAGGCTGGAGTGCAGTGGCACGATTGCAGTTCATTGCAACCTCAGCCTTCCTGCTTCAGTCGATTTTCCTGCCTCAGCCTCCCGAGTAGCTGACACTACAGTTGCCTGCCACCATGCCCGGATTGTAGTCCCAGCTACTCCAGAGGCTGAGACAGGAGAATTGCTTGAACCCAGAAGATGGAAATTGCAGTGAACTGAGATCACACCACTGCACTCCAGCCTGGACAACAGACTCTCTGTCAAAAAAAAAAAAAATTTTTTTTAAATTATAATTAAAAAATTATAAGCATAGTGCAGAACATTAGCTGTCCTGGTACTCACGAAGCATTTAAAAAACAGTTGCCACTATTATTAATATTGTTCTTGTCACTCTTTAAAATCACCAAATTTAGCAAATAAAAGTACAGGCTACCCAGTGATTTTTTTTTTTTTTTTTTCAGCTGGAGTCTCGCTCTGTCCCCAGCTGGAGTACAGTGGTGGGATCTGTTTACTGCAATCCCCCCTTCTGGGTTCAAGCAATTCTTCTGTCTCAGCTTCTTGAGTCGCTTGGAATATGGGTGCCTGCCACCACGCCCAGCTAATTTTTGTATTTTTAGTAGAGACGGGGTTTCACCATGTTGAACAGGCTAGTCTCAATCTCCTGATCTCAGGTGATCCACCCTTCTCAGCCTCCCAAAGTGCTGGGATTACAGGCATGAGCCACTGCACCTGGCTGTGCCCAGGTAAATTTGAATTTCAGATAAACAACAAATACTTTTTTTGAGATTGCATAGTTTACTGCTTAATTGCTAAGATGGATGTGTAGACTTGATGCTTAAAGGTATGCAAAATTTTTACAGGACCCATATTTGCATGTGTATTTTATCAAAGGCAACAACAAATTCTTGAATTAATTTCTAAAGAGTCTACATACTACGTACACAGGCACAAAAACTTATTTCTAATGTCTACAGAGTATAGAACAATTTATGGTATAAAATTAAATAATTTTCTTGCACAGAGTAATAACATTTTAAAAACACACATTTTTGAAACAAAGATGGTCTTAAGTGGCAACCCAATTATGATAATTGCAGAGATAACTCTGTACTAAATTACTTCATGAGTAACTGTTGAACACAGAGTGCTGATTTTCCTTTTTATCACAGTATTCTTTTTACACAAAAGAAATTTCTTTCTATTTTCCCACCAAGGAAAATGTATACACTTTGGAATGAGCCTGTTTTAAAACAAAGAATATTTGCTATGAATCAAATCCGAGTAACCTGGAAAAAAATCTGAAAGCTTGTAATTAGTATATTTCTACTTCCATGATTTTAGACTAGGGTAAGAACCTTTTGCATTCTGTGATAGGCATCTCGTCCCTATCTGATTGTTACCTTTAGATAAACACAAAATACCTCTCATGAGCAGTTCAAATACAGACGAATATTACCTATTATGAAACGTAGGAACTATGGTAAGCAAAGCTGTAACAGTTCTTTTTCAATCCTCAGGCGAGCTGAACAAAAGCTCTCAACCTCAGAGTAATGCAGGTCAGGCGTCCCTTTCATAAAATGCTAGATAGCTGTGACAAGCGAAGATAGGTGTTTTTTTTTTTTTTAATTTTAAGAATGTAACATAATATTACAGTTTGTTCAAAATGACAGATCATCTGGAAACTAAATTGTAGCAATTGATATCATATAGCTGGAAACATTTAGCAAAATCAGGTTTGCTTGTTTTTAGTTGAAAATGTCAAGATTAGCAGCCATGGATACACTGGATGAATCCAGAGGTCACTGTGCCCCAAGTTGTATCTTAATGAGCTATTCTTCAAGACTGAAAGAAAATTTATGCCAGAAAAATCGTGTTTTTGTCAGACTAAAAATACTACATCCTCAATTTCTAAGCTTCCTACACAGCCTGGAAGCCCCTGATGGGCTGAAACCCTCCCCTGCCCATCTGCTCCTCTCCCTTCGCATGGCACAGAAGATCTCAGGCCCTCCTGTAGGATGGAGTAGGGGAGATTCAGGCTGGACACGTCCCCATCATCCCCCACCCCTACCCACCGAAGCCTGGAGCATCAGGCTGGGCACCGTGGCTCAAACCTGTTATCCCAGCACTTTAGGAGGCTGAGGCGGGCAGATCACCTGAGGTCAGGAGTTTGAGACCAGCCTGGCCAACACGGTGAAACTCCATCTCTACTAAACATACAAAAATTAGCTGGGCATGATGGTGGGTGCCTGTAATCCCAGCTACTTGGGAGACTGAGGCAGGAGAATAGCCTGGACTCGGGAGGCAAGGCATAGGCAGCAGTGAGCTGAAATCACGCTGCTGCCCTCCAGCCTGGGCAACAAGAGTGAAACTCCATCTCTAAACAAACAAACAAACGAACAAACAACAAAAATCACATTGTACTGGAGTAGCTGGGACCACAGGTGCCCACCACCACCACACCTAGGGAATTTTTGCATTTTTATTAGAAACGAGGTTTCGCCCTGTTGGCCAGGCTTGTCTAGATCTCCTGACCTCGGCCTTCTAAAAACTGAGATTAAAGGCGTGAAACACCACGCCCGGTCTCTAATTTAAGTTTTTAAGTTTAAAAAAATTTTAAGAGGTAGGAGACCAGACATTGTCAACGCGACGACGTGCGTTTTTCAGAAGTAAAACGCATTCCCGTGTGCATTGCTCATTCAGCAGTTATCTCTGAGTTTCTACTGAAGAGCAGCCCTGCAGAGAGTCCGAGGATGGGATGTGCAGACAGACAAAGGCATCCCCAGCATCACAGAACGAGGTCCCGGACACGGAGAAAGGAAAGAAGCCACAGGCGTGCACGGAAGACAATAATGGATCTCATTTATTCTGAGACTTACTTTTTAGCTTTTAACACTTTTGTCAAAATTTAGTAAACAGCGTTTTTCTTTTATCATGGTGCCTAAAGTAATATGTGTTAAAAATCCATGGCCGGCTGGGTGCGGTGGCTCACGCCTATAATCCTGGCACTTTGGGAGGCCGAGGCGGGTGGATCACGGGGTCAAGAGATCGAGACCATCCTGGTCAACAAGATGACACCCCCGTCTCTACTAAAAATACAAAAATTAGCTGAACATGGTGGTATATGCCTGTAGTCCCAGCTACTTGGGAGGCTGAGGCAGGAGAATTGGTTGAACCCAGGAGGTGGAGGTTGCGGTGAGCCAAGATCGCTCCATTGCACTCCAGCCTGGGTAACAAGCGAAACTCCGTCTCAAAAAAAAAAAAAAAAATCCATGGCCTCTTTTGAAAAGTGTCTGTTTATATCCTTTGCTCAGTTTTTGATGGGGTTGTTTGCTTTTTCTTGTAAATTTGTTTAAGTTCTTTGTTCTGGGTATTAGCCCTTTGTCAGATGGGTAGCTTGCAAAATTTTTTCCCATTCTGTTGGTTGCTGGTTCACTCTAATGATTGTTTCTTTTGCTGTGCAGAAGCTCGTAAGTTTAATTAGATCCCATTTGCCTGTTTTGGCTTTTGTTGCCATTGCTTTTGGTGTTTTAGTCATGAAGTCCTTGCCTATGCCTATGTCCTGAATGGTATTGCCTAGGTTTTCTTCTGGGATTTTTATGGTGTTCGGTCTTAGGTTTAAATCTTTAATCCATCTGGAGTTATGCACCCAACAAACATATGAAAAAATGTTCATCATCACTGGTCATTAGAGAAATGCAAATCAAAACCACACTGAGATACCATCTCAAGCCAGTTAGAATGGTGATCATTAAAAAATCTGGAGACAACAGATGCTCGAGAGGATGTGGAGAAATAGGAACATTTTTACACTGCTGATGGGAGTGTAAATTAGTTCAACCTAAATTAGTGGAAGACAGTGTGGCAATTCCTCAAGTATCTAGAAATAGAAATACCATTTGATCCAGCAATCCCATTGCTGAGTATATACCCAAAGGATTATAAGTCATTCTGTTATAAGGACACATGCACACGTATGCTCATTGCAGCACTGTTTACAATAGCAAAGACTTGGAACCAACCCAAATGCCCATCAGTGATAGACTGGATAAAGAAAATGTGGCACATATACACCATGGAATACTATGCAGCCATAAAAAAGGATGAGTTCATGTCCTTTGCAGGGACATGGATGAACCTGGAAACCATCATTCTCAGCAAACTGACACAAGAACAGAAAACCAAACACCGCATGTTCTCATTCATAAGTGGGTGTTGAACAATGAGAACACATGGACACAGGGAGGGGAACATCACACAGCAGGGCCTATTGGGGGGTGGGGAGGCTAGGGAAGGAATAGCAGGGGCGGGGGGATTGGGGAGGGATAACATTAGGAGAAATACCTAATGTAGATGATGGGGAGATGGAGGCAGCAAACTGCCATGGCACGTGTATACCTATGTAACAATCCTGCATGATCTGCACATGTACCGTAGAAATTAAAGTATAATTTAATAAAAAGAAAGTAAAGAAAAAGAAAGAAAAAATCCATGGCCTCAATAACAACAAAAAAGGGGAAAAACACCAAATGAATGAGATATTAAATATAGACATTTGATTACTGTTAAATTTAGACAGTTAAATATTGTCTGTGAAATATAGATAATCAATTACTGTTAAGGAAAAATATTCCATGGCATTTTAGATTAGGTTTAAAAAATTTTTACACTGACAAATAAAAATTGTATGTATTTGTGGGGTACAATGTGATTTTTTTGTTTCTTTCTTTTTGAGACAGAGTTTCATTCTTGTCCAGGCTGGAGTGCAGTAGTGTGTTCTGGGCTCCCTGCTACCTATGGCTCCAGGGTCCAGGTAATTCTCCCAAATCAGCTCCCAAGTAGCTGCAATTACGGGAACCCTCCATCATGCCCAGATAATTTTTGTATGTTTAGTAGAGATGGAGTTTCACCGTGTTGGCCAGGCTGGTCTCGAACTCCTGACCTCAGGTGATCTGCCCGCCTCAGCCTCCTAAAGTGCTGGGATAACAGGTGTGAGCCACGGTGCCCAGCCTGATGCTCCAGGCTTCAGTGGGTAGGGGTGGGGGATGATGGGGACGTGTCCAGCCTGAATCTCCCCTACTCCATTCTACAGGAGGGCCTGAGATCTTCTGTGCCATGCGAAGGGAGAGGAGCAGATGGGCAGGGGAGGGTTTCAGCCCATCAGGGGCTTCCAGGCTGTGTAGGAAGCTTAGAAATTGAGGATGTAGTATTTTTAGTCTGACAAAAACACGATTTTCTGGCATACATTTTTTTTAAAATCTTGAAGAATAGCTCATAACGACACATTCTGAGGGCACGCCGACCTCCGGATTTATCCAATGTGTCAATGGCTGTTAATCTTGACATTTTCAAGTAAAAACAAGCAAACCTGATTTTGCTAAATGTTTCCCGCTATAAGATGTCAATTGCTGCAATTTCGTTTCCAGATGATCTGTCATTTTGAACAAACTTTAAACTTTAATATTCCACTAACTTCTTAAATGAACAAAAAAACCCCACAAATCTTCGCTTGTCACCGCTATTTAAAATTTTATGAAACGGACGCCTGTCCTCTACTCTGAGGTTGAGAGCTTTTGTTCAGCTCGCCTGAGGGTTGAAAAAGAACTGTTACAGCTTTGCTTACCCTATCATAATAGGTAATATTCGTCTGTATTTGAACTGCTCATGAGAGGTATTTTGTGTTTATCCAAAGATAACGATCAGGAAGGGACGAGATGCCTATCACAGAATGCAAAAGGTTCTTTCTTACCCTAGTCTAAAATCATGGAAGTAGAAATATACTAATTACAAGTTTTCAGATTTTTTTCCAGGTTACTCGGTTGATTCATAGCAAATATTCTTTGGTTCTGTTTTTTAAAACAGGCTCATTCCAAAGTATATAAATTGTCAATGGTGGGAAAAATGTAAAGAAATTTCTTTTATGTAAAAAAAAAAAATACTGTGATAAAAAGGAAAATCAGCACTCTGTGTTCAAAAATTATTTATGAATTTATTACAGAAATGTCTCTCTAATTATCATAATTGGATGGCCACTTAAGACAATCTTTGTTTTTAAAATGTCGTGTATTTTTAAAATGTTATTACTCTGTGCAAGGAAATTGATATATTTATCCCTCTCGTGGTAAAACTTTTACTCTTAAATCATTGTATTCCTATATTCTAAAGACATTTAAAATACATTTCTGTGCCTGTGTACGTAGACTCTGCAGAAATTCAAGAATTTGTTGTTGCTTTTGACAAAATACTTATGTAAATATCAGTACTGTAAGAATTTTGCCTGCCTTTAAGCATCAAGTCTAGGTGTCCTGTTGTTGCTTTTGACAAAATACTTATGTAAATATCAGTACTGTAAGAATTTTGCCTGCCTTTAAGCATCAAGTCTAGGTGTCCATCTAGCAATGGGCCGTAAACTATGCAATCTCAAAAAAACTATTTGTTGTTTATCTGAAATTCAAATTTGCCTGGCAGCCTGCACTTTTATTTGCTAAATGTGGTGACTTTAAGGAGTGGCAAGAACAGTATGAATAATAGTGGCAAGTGTTTAAGTGCTTACTGAGTACCAGGCCAGCTGCTGTTCTGTGACATAATTTTGTGAGTTATAATTTAAATTTTTTTCTTTTTTTTTTGAGACAGAGTCTTGCTCTGTCACTCAGGCTGGAGTGCAGTGGTGCAGTCTCAGCTCACTGCAGCCTCTGCCTACCAGGTTCAAGCGATTCTCCTGCCTCAGCCTCCCAAGTAGCTGGGATTACAGGCATGTGCCACCAACCATGCCGGGGTAATTTTTGTATTTTTAGTAGAGACGGGGTTTTGCTTTGTTAGCCAGGCTGGTCTCGATCTCCTGACTTCAGGTGATCTACCTGCCTTGGCCTCCCAAAGTTCTGGGATTACAGGTGTGAGCCACTGTGCCTGGCCCCTAATTTAAATTTTTACTTTTAAATTTTTTTTTTTTTTTTTTTTTTGAGACGGAGTTTCGCTCTTGTTACCCAGGCTGGAGTGCACTGGCATGATCTCAGCTCACCGCAACCTCCGACTCCTGGGTTCAGGCAATTATCCTGTTTCAGCCTCCTGAGTAGCTGGGATTACAGGCACACGCCAACATGCCCAGCTAATTTTTTGTATTTTTAGTAGAGACGGGGTTTCACCTTGTTGACCAGGATGGTCTCGATCTCTTGACTTCGTGATCCACCCGCCTCGGCCTCCCAAAGTGCTGGGATTATAGGCGTGAGCCACTGCGCCCCGCCATAAATTTGCATCTTAAAAATCCATGGCCTCAACAAAAGAAAAAAAAAAAGGGGAAAACAACAAATGAATGAGATATTAAATATAGACATTTGAGTAATGCCAATCGATGATTACTGTTGAGAGAAATATCCCACAGTGTTTTAGATTAGATGAAAATAATTTTTTAATTGGAAAATAATAATTGTATGTATTTGGGGGTACAATGTGATGTTTTGATGTATGTGTACATTGTGGAGTGATTAAATCAAGCTAATTAACATACTTGTCACTTCATCTACTTATAATTTTTTGTGGCAAAAACATTTCAAATCTACTATTCTAGCCGGGCGCAGTGGCTCAAGCCTGTAATCCCAGCACTTTGGGAGGCCGAGGCGGGTGGATCACGAGGTCAAGAGATCCAGACCATCCTGGTCAACACGATGAAACCTCATCTCTACTAAACATACAGAATAAGCCGGGCAGGTGGCGTGTACCTGTAGTCCCAGCTGCTGGGGAGGCTGAGGCAGGAGAATCGCTTGAACCCAGGAGGCGGAAGTTGCAGTGAGCCGAGATCACACCATTACACTGCAGCCTGGGAGATAGAGCAAGACTCCATCTCAATAAAAAAAAAGAAAAAGAAAAAAAACTCAGGAGGAAGAGGGTGGGAGTGGGCTAGGTGTCAGAATCTGCACATTAGGTGCAAGGTACATGACTTGGGTGGTGGGTGCACTAACATCTCGGAATTCACCGCTATGTAATTGACGCACAGAACAAAAAAGCATTTGTATTCCAAAAGCTACGGAAATAATTTTTTTTTTTTTTTAAAGAAAAACAGCCATCTCTTGGGCACTTGCAGAGGCCCAGTGGCGGGTGGGGGTTGGTGGTCTAAACCGGTTTGAACTGGATGGGAGATGTCCCGGGTTCCTGAACAACAGAAGCGACATTACCATGGTGACCAATGAATGTTATCTAGCAAACAGCCAGTGAAGGGTTAAAGCTGAGCAGATGCCTGAAAGCCGGCTGGGCTGGTGGACCTGGTCAGATTAACCCTTCAGTGCCTATTTGTCAACTAAAAATAAAATTGTAGGCTGGATGCGGCGGCTCACGCCTGTAATCTCAGCACATTGGGAGACCGAGACGGGCAGATTGCCTGAGGTCAGGTGTTCGAGACCTGCCTGACCAACCTGGTGAAACCCCCGCCTCTGCTAAAAATACAAAAATTAGCTGGGCGTGCTGGTGGATGACTGTAATCCCAGCTACCAGGGAAACTGAGGCAGGAGGATCGCTTGAACCCAGGAGGCAGAGGTTGCGGTGAGTGGAGATCGAACCACTGCACTGCAGACTGGGCCACAAGAGTGAAACTGTGTCTCAAAAAAAAAAAAAAAATTAAAATTAAAAAGTCAAATTTTAAAAAATGTCTCAGGTACTTTATTGTAGGTCATGTTGCTTCTTTTTATATATAACAACAGCATTTTAATTGAATTTTCTAAGTGATTGTTTCTAGTTGTTTAAATGCACCTGTTCAAATCGAAGTTCATCATTCTGTTTGGAACAACTTTTGTGCGACAATGAAATAGGAACATAAGTGAGAAAGCCAATAGGCACAGAATGACAGAAAAGGAAGCGGCAAAACAGCTAGAACCCTCGTTCCGCTGGTTACTGCAGGACAATAAATAAAATGACACTTAACCGAAACACTTTTATTTGCGTCTTCAAAGAAGAAACTCTTCCTTCTCCGGGATAATCACGATTAACTCACAAAAGTGGGTACACATCTTCAAAGCACTTCCCTTTAATGGGAAACCTAGCTTTATAGGATTTAAACAGAAGGCAAAAAAAAAAAAAAAAAAAAAAAAAAATTGCATTTTCTTGTCATTGTAAGACAAAACAGAATCTACTGTAAGCCAAGAAAACTCATTCATACTTCAGGTCCTTCTCCAGGAACCAGCATTGTTATATTATTGCCGTTTAGCAAAATCTGATCTAATTTAGTAATCTTTCTTCCTTCTGGTGAAATTTCAAACTCAGTGACATCTTCCAGTACCATGTTGACAAAGTCAGCAAGTCCTAGAAGAGCACCAACGATTTCCTTATCACTCTCTCTTTCTAACAATGTGAATTCTTTTTTTTTTGAGATGGAGTTTCGCTCTTGTTACCCAGACTGGAGTGCAATGGTGCGATCTTGGCTCACCACAACCTCCGCCTTCTGGGTTCAGGCAATTCTCCTGCCTCAGCCTCCCGAGTAGCTGGGATTACAGGCACGCACCACCGTGCCCAGCTAATTTTTTGTATTTTTAGTAGAGACGGGGTTTCACCGTGTTGACCAGGATGGTCTCGATCTCTTGACCTTATGATCCTCCCATCTCAGCCTCCCAAAATGCTGGTATTATAGGCAGGAGCCACCGCGCCCAGCACAATGTGAATTCTTGATCCAATACATTTGCCCACAAGCTGTAATGGCAGCAGCTGCGACGGGTTGGTAGTAGTGTTAGCCCCCTGGCCACGCCGGGTGTTCTTTTTTTAAATTTATTTAACTTTAGGTGCATACTATATCTGGCATTTCTCCCCATGTTATCCCTCCCCGCCCCCCAGTAGCAGCCGTCCGCCCGCGCCCCTGGCTTAAGGCAACAGCCACCGTCTACTGTTCCCTCTCTGCTTCCTGGTTGTCTGGGCTCAGCTGCCTCCGTTCTCACTCAGGCCACCTCCAGAGGCTGCAGTCGGTGACGATGCTCAGGGCTGAGTTTTTTGAAGGCGTCCACACCTGTGTGTCATGCCCGACCTGGGAGGAGGTGTGTGCCGGGCGCTGGGCGCTGGCACGGCCGGACGCCTGGCATCTCTCCCTCCAGGTGGTCCTCCCAACCAGCCTTTCTGGAGCGGCCCCTTCTGTCCAGCTGCACGTCTCAGCCCGGCTGCAAAGGAACATTCCCAGGGGAGTCTGGATGCGGTTTTACCCCTTCACTCTCCTACAGTCCTGGAGGTCAGATGTCCCGCCTGGGTCTCACTGGGCTGAAGTCAGGCTGTCCACAGAGCTGCGTTCCTTCCAGAGGCTCCAATGTGGGGGGAGAATCCCACACAATCTTCCAGCCTGTGGCGGCCGCCCCACCCACATGCCTTGGCTCAGGGCCCCTTCCTCCCTCTTCGAGGCTGGCGCAGTTGGTGGAGTCCTCACAGCCGTCACCCTGGCTTCTCTCACGGCTTTTTAGTCCCCCCCTTTCAAAATAACTCCTGTGATTACAATGGTTCCACTGGGTGGTCCAGGATGGTCTCCCTGTTTAAAAGTCTAATGATTAGATTAGCAACCTTACTTCACCTGTCCCCCAATTCCCGTTGCCACCGAACGCAGTCCGTTCTCTGACCACCCCACCCCCCTAGGAGGACCCTTCGATCCTTCCCCTGGACACATGCGTTTCCCACAGCTCTCATAACAAAGCATCACAGACCAGACGCCTTAAAACAGTGGACATTTCTTCTCTCACCGTCCTGGAAGCTCACACGGCGAATCCAAGGCGTCCGGATTCTAGGGCTGGAAGAGAGCATCCTTTCTGGCCTGTTCCAGCACCTGGCAGTTCCCAGTGCCCCTTGGCACGTGGCCACAGCACCCCAATCCCCACCTGCATCTCACACACTCTTCCTTCTGCGTCTGGGTCCTCTCCTCTCTCATGAGGGTATCAGTCATGTCAGGTTAAAGCCCACCCTGCTGCCTCAATGTGAACATGGCTATATCCCACAAGGACCTTGTTTTCAAGTGAGGTCACATTCACAGGGACCAGGGGATAGGAGGGCAACCCCTCTTTGGGGACACGGCGCAGCCCATAACACCTCCCCCCGACTCTGTCTCTTCTGCGTCCACCTCTTCCTAGATCCACTCAATTATTCCTGTTCTCTCCAGTCCCACCGTCACCACCCATTGCCTTTTCATAGCCAATTACAACGGCCCATCTTGGGGTCCTGCTCCCACCTCATCCCTCCACTCCCTCTGCCAGAGGCCCTGCGGAGGACAAGCTGGGGGCAGGGAGGGGGAGGAATTAGGACACTGCTGGGCAAGGCTGCTCACCACATGTGTCCTGTGCCACCCTGGGTGCTACCCACTTTCTTTCTTCTTTCTCTTTCTTTCCTTCTTTCTTTCTTTTCTCTCTCTTTCTCTCTTTATTTTCTTTCTTTCTTGACAAAGTTGCTCAGGCTGGAGTGCAGTACAGTGGTCTGTCCTGTGTCTCACGTGGGTTCTATTCCTTCCTTCCTTTCTTCCCTCTCTTTTTTTCTTTCTTTCTTTCTCTTTCTTTCCTTCCTTCCTTCTCTCTCTCTTTCTTCCTCAGAGTTTTGGGCTGGAGTGCAGTGCAGTGATCTCAGCTCACTGCAACCTCCTCTCCTGGGTTCAAGAGATTCTCCTGCCTCAGCCTCCCGAGTATCTGGGATTACAGGTGCCCACCACCACGCCCAGCTAATTTTTGTATTTTTAGTAGAGATGGGGTTTCACCACGTTGGTCAGGCTGACCTTGAACGCCTGACCTCAGGTGATCTGCCCATCTCGACCTCCCAAAGTGCTGGGATTAAGGTGTGAGCCACTGCGCCTGGCCTGAGTTCACCGTTTTCTGAGACTCGACCTTCCTCTGTGTCCACACTCTTCCCATCCTTCCGTCTGGGCAGACAGCACTGGAGGCTGGGGCAAGGGTGTCCAGCTGCTTCATCAGCACCACAATATAAAGATAAAAGAGGAAGATGTATATAATTTTGGTGTCTTTGGGGCCTTCCGAGTCTGGCATGGAGCTTTCACGGAGCATTTACTCTGATACGTGCTGCAAACAGCCCGGGTGCACATGCTGCCTCCTCGTTATGGGCTGGATTTCATATCCCACAAAAACGTATGTTGAAGTCCTGACCCTATGCCTTAGAACGTGAAAACAGGGTCAGTGCTGATACAGTTAGCTACAATGAGGTCCTCCTGTAGTGGGCTGGGCCCCTGATCCAACAGGACAGATGCCTTTAGCAGAAGCCAGCCTGGTGAATGCAGCCACACCAGGAGAGGGCCACATGACGACGGGGCATTGGGGTGATGTATCTACCAGCCAAAGGCCGCCAGCAGACCACCGGAAGCCAGGGAAGGGGCCTGAAACAAACAGAGTCTCCCTCAAAGCCCTCAGGAAAAACCAACCCTGCCAATAGCTTGATTTCAGACTTCTGACCTCCAGAGCTGGGAGAGAACACATTCCTTTAAACCACAGCACTGGGCTGTCGCACTTCATCACAGCAGTGCGAGGAAAAAAAATACACTCCTGTAACCCGTGCCGTGAACACACTTCCGCAAACCTTGCAACAAATATCCTCCTGTAAACCTTGCAAGAAATACACTTCTGTCCAGAAGTGGCATAGCTGGCCAGGGGTAGTAGCTCATGCCTGTAACCCCAGCACTTTGGGAGGCCAAGGCCGGTGAATTGCTTGAGCCTGGGAGTTTGAGATCAATATAGGCAAGAATGGTGAAACCCTGATGCTATAAAATTTAAAAAAATTAAAAAGAATTAGGCTGGTGTGGTGGCACAGACCTGTAGTCCCAGCTACTCAGGAGGCTGAGCCAGGAGGATGTCTTGAGTCCAGGAAGCGGAGGTTGCAGTGAGCAGAGATTGCGCCACTGCACTACAGCCTGAGTGACAGAGCAAGACCTGATCTGAAAAAAGGAAAAAAAACAGTGGAGTAGCTGCTGGATCCTATTTCACAGAGGATGAAACGAGAGAGCAAGCAGGAGGTAGAAGCAGACTGAGACATCCAAGACAGGTGAGGCAGGGCTTGCCCTGAGCACAGTGTGTCATCGCTCCTCTCTCCCCGTCCAGAACCCACAGAAGCTCAGACTGTCATCGCTCCTCTCTCCCCGTCGAGAGCCCACAGAAGCTCTCCCTGTGGCCTCCAGTTCTCACCCTCCAGTGTGCCTCGGAGGCCACCGTCCTGGGTCTGACTCCAGGAGTTGCCGTTCTCAAGCTGCCTGACCTGGGACCATCCGACCGGGCCTCAGTTTTCCCATCTGTTAAATGGAGATAATTATAGCATACATCATAGGGTTGGTGGGATGATGAATTGAGAAAGTCCACGAAAGCCCTTAGTCCATTTGGACTGCTGCCATAACAAAATGCCTCAGACCGGATGGCTTATCAACAACAGGAGTTGACTCCTCACGGTTTTGGAGGCCGGAAGTCAGGGTGCCAGCATGGTCTGGTTCTGGAGAGGGCTGCTTTCTGGTTTACAGGTCATCATCCTCTTACTGCATCCTTATGTTATGTAGAGATGGATTATCTCTCTAAGACGTCGTTGTTTTTTTTTTTTTTTTTGAGACAGAGTCTCACTGTGTTGCCAGGTTGGAGTGCAGAGGCACGATCTTGGCTCACTCTCACTGCAACCTTTGCCTCCTGGGTTCAAGCAATTCTCCTGCCTTGGCCTCCTGAGTAGCTGGGATTACAGGCACGCGCCACCATGCCCAGCTAAGTTTTGTATTTTTAGTAGAGATGGGTTTCACCATGTTGGCCAGGATGGTCTCGATCTCTTGACCTTGTGATCCACCTGCCTCGGCCTCCCAAAGTGCTGGGTTCACAGGTGTGAGCCACCGCACCCAGGCTACTGATTCAGTTTCTGAGGACCCCACCCTCATGATCTAATCAGCTCCAAAGACTCCACTTCTAAACACCATCACTTGGGGTGAAGGCTTTGACACCTGTGTTTTGGGGTCACAGTGAGAGCACAGCAAGCCCTTAGCTCCGGTTCTGTGCTCGATACATGTGAATGGTTTTGAACTTCATGAAGATGAAAATGAGAGGGGACTTGATGAAGGCGGCTCTGGGGCTCAGTCCTTTACCCTTTCAATAAATGCTTCCTACAGGTCTACTGTGTGACAGGACATGGTTAAGAACCGACTCCAAAGACTGGAAAATTCCAGTTTCTGGGGCCCACCCGGCCCCTTCCTCAGCTCCCCCACCTTTCCGCACTCTGGCTGTGGTTTCCATGGTGATAGTCTGAGCCTCCCTCTGTTGCTAAGGCAGATAAACAGTCAGGAGAGGGAGCAGGTTGCAAAGGTTGATTAATCTCCCTGAGAGATGGTGGTGGGCATAGGAGGGGGAGGGAGACCCAAGGGGCTCATGCACAGACTTTGCATGCCTTTGAATAGGGGTTTGCAGGAGAAGGGAAATGAGCCTGTGGAGAGAATATTTAAAATGTATTCTCTGGACCAGGCATGGTGGCTCACACTCATAATCCCACCACTGTGGGAGGCAAGGCGGGCAAATCACCTGAGGTCAGGAGTTCGAGACCGGCCTGGCCAACATGGTGAAACCCCGTCTCTACTAAAAACACAAAAATTAGCAGGGGGCGGTGGTGGGCACCTGTAATCTCAGCTACTAGGGAGGCTGAGGCAGGAGAATCACCTGAAACCAGGAAGCGGAGGTTGCAGTGAGCCGAGATGGCACCACTGTACTCCAGCTTGGGCGACAGAGTGAGACCCTGCCTCAAAAAATAAATAATAAACTGCATAAAATAACAAAAATCTGATATTGATGAAAAAGCAACCTGCGGTAAGGGGAATCTTCGTTTTAGGGAACGTTCTTCAAAGTCACCCCATTGTTGTCGTCCTTTGTCAAACCCTGCTTTGTAAGACACTGGGGCCGGGCTCAGCTCTGGTTGTGTGTGTGTGTGTGTGCGCGTGTGTGTGTGCGCGCGTGTGCGCGCGCGTGTAGTGCGTGCCCGTGTGTGTGCGTGCGTGCGTGTGTCCGTGCATGTGTGCATGCGCGTGTGTGTGCATGCGTGTGTGCGCACGTGTGTGTCCGTGCGTGTGTGTGTGCGTGCGCGTGTAGTGCGTGCCCGTGTGTGTGCATGCGTGCGTCCGTGCGTGTGTGCATGCGTGTGTGCGCGCGTGTGCGTGCGTGCGTGTGTGTGTGCGTGCGCGTGTAGTGCGTGCCCGTGTGTGTGCATGCGTGCGTCCGTGCATGTGTGCATGCGTGTGTGTGCGCGTGCGCGTGTGTAGTGCGTGCCCGTGTGTGTGCGTGCGTGCGTGTGTCCGTGCATGTGTGCATGTGTGTGTGTGCGCGCGTGTGTGTGCGTGTAGTGCGTGCCCGTGTGTGTGCATGCGTGCGTCCGTGCATGTGTGCATGCGTGTGTGCGCGCGTGTGCGTGCGTGCGTGTGTGTGTGCGTGCGCGTGTGTGTGTGATCTGACAAGGTAGGGCCGATGAACATCCTGACTTTGCAAACAAGGGTTTTGACTACTGAAATCTCAGAGAGATGGAAACACCGGCCCAAGAACCCTCAGTCTTATTTATTCACAAATTACAAATGAGAAATGAGCAGGTTCTAGGCTAAACATTTTAAGGGCGCGCAGGTTCTGACACAAGATTCCAGAATCTTCCATGCCCTGAGGTTCTCTCTGCTGATTTTCAGCCACCTCCACTCCCGCATCCCGGCAGCAGTTTCCATGGTAACAGATGGAGTCTGCCTGGGTTGCTAAGAAACGAGAGCCCAGCGAAAGGACCAAGACGCCGTTGACCCAGCCTGGGATGGGAGGGGATGGAAAGAACAGGGGAGGCTCCCCAGCCCCTACTTCATTTATGTGAAAATACAAAGGAGAGTTGCAGAGTGGGAGCGGGGTCGGGGAAGCGGCCCGCTGGTCTTCGTTTTTAGTTTTTTCCTTACGGTAAAATATACGTAAC